ACAAAAAATAAAAATTGGGAAATAAAATAATTTGGGTTTTTTTTTTTTTTTTTTTTTTTTTTTTTTTTGTTCCAACAATGACCAAACGATTTAGAGAATGAGAGTTGAAATTATTTTGTCATTTGTGACAGTTCATTTAAAAGTTCTTTAAAAATTGTTATTCATCATATATATAAAATTATTTGAAATTCTTTGAGAATTGTTATTTATGATATATATGAGATTTGTGAATCTATTATAGTAATCATATGTATGTGTTTTTGTAGAATACGTAATTTTTTTGTAACTTTTTGATAAACTTAATTGTGCTTCACTAACTCGAAATGTCGGCGTCCATCACTGCCCACTCCCACTCATGCCATCCATACCCACGCCCACATAACCAAGATTTGCTCTCTCTACCATTTCTGTATTTGGTCTCTCTCTCTCTCTCTCTCTCTCTCAATCAGTCTAATGGCCACCCACCAACACCAAGCACTGTTATGGAAAACCAACCACTGTTGAAGGTATTAGTGGTTGATGTGGTAATGGTGATATGTTGTGGCTATGAGGTGGTAGCAGCATTTTGGGTGGTGCTGACAATAGTGGAGTGGGGTCGGGTGAGGTAGGAGAGATGAAGGATAATTTGTGACTAGTTAATTGAATAATTGTAAGCAGTTAATTTAATAATTTGTGACTGATAAATAAGTTGTGATATATAAAATATGTGACTTGTGACTAAATTTGTAATTGTGACCCACATTGTGTATCTCTATAACTCTGATATTGTGTGATTTGTGATTTTTACATAAATGTTGTCATAAATTGTATATTATTATAACTTTAGCCTATTTAGTTAATAAATATGTCACAAAATATTTATCAGATGGTCACAAATATAACTACCCGATTTTTGAAAGAATTTCTTAAGTTTCTTAAATTGGAAAGTACATCTTTAAACTTTGGTAATTCCGTATTCTCCCTTTTTCTTTTTCTTTTTTTGAATGATTTTCCAAGACATTGATAACTACTCTCTGAGTAAAAATAAAGATATAAAATAGGGGAAAATATTAAAAAAATAAGTTTTATATACAACCACTTTGATTCCATCCAAGTATTTAATCCCGCTGTTATGCACAAGAATTTATCTTAAAATAATTTATTTGCAATATTTCGTTGCATAGAAAATGTCATCTTTTGTTAACAAACATGATTATCGTGAATATGATACTTTGCTTCTTTATCCCCCGTTTGACATGGATTAAATTTTTGATAAAAAATAATAATAAGTTTAAGTCAGTAATTAATTTTAACTATACATTTTATAGGATTTACAACTTTTATCAGTTTTCAATACAAATCAACTTTTATTAACATCTACTAAAAGTCCGATTTTTAGCTACACTAAACAATGGCTTAAAATGTTGGCACGTGAAAGAGCATTGGTACTCGGTATTGTGTGGTGTGCAACAATGAGTTTTTGGTTGGCCATAACTCATTGTATGCTTTTCGATTTCGTAAGAAATGAACATACAAGGATGAATTAGGACATTTTGTCTTGACAGTCCTGTGCAACGTATGTTTCATATTTTCAAGGATTTGGATTTTGTGAATAGCATTTCTCTTCTTCGTACAAATGCATTTTTCTAATATACCCTTATATTAGATAATAGTAGTTCATATGTGTTGATAATAATACACATTAAATAGGGATAAATTAAAAAAAATTAACAAATTAACTATACTCTCGATAAGGAAATTAGCCTATACTTTGGATTGCACATATGAAAAAAGAAAGTAGGCCTATCTTTATGTTAATTTGAGTTTATGGACAAGTTATTTCGAATTTTATTGGGTGATTATGATTTTCATTATGTTAAAGTAACTGTTAATCATAATTATTTCTTTGAGTTGTGAATTGATTTTGTATTGTAGCCTTGTTGGTTTTCATTGCAGCCAATTGTTCTTTATTTATTTTGTTACTGTCACTTGACTTTTGCTTTTATTATAACTTGATTGTTCCTTCGGGTTTTCGAAAATTGTGAACTAGCTCTCTATTATCATCATATTTGACCGTGACCTGAATCTTGTAATCAATGTATAAATAAATATGTTGAAGGGTAACATTTTCAAAAGAACGAAGTAGTGGGTGAAGTCACTAATTTTATTCTTCCAAACACCGTATCAAAAATTGATTGATCTTAGAGTTTGTTCTATTTTTGTGTAGTGTATAGATTTTTTAACATTGTGACTTGTTGTGACCTATTTTATCTAAATTTCTAACTTGATTGTTGGTCTAATATTTGAGCCTTTGAATATGGCATTTCCTCTTTGATATTGACATTACATTTTATTCAATAATTTAATGTAAGAATGAAAATATATAATTCTTCAAGACCAATGATTCCCGGGAAAATAAAAAGCGCAACAAAGAATGTGATTATCAATTTCAATTCAAAATTCAATGATGTGCGAAAGGAGATTGTGACTTTGTATGTGCTTGAACATATGAGCTTGATATGTTTATGAATGATTTCATATTTAGTAATTAGTATTCTTCGTCATGAATCATTATATTCAGCAATGTGAAAATTAATGTCGATATTATGGGATTAAACACTCCATGATTCAGTCTGAAGTCACAGGTCACAATTTACTGGTCACAAACACATTATAGATCATAAGTTACATGTCACTTGCATAATACAAATAACAGGTCACGGACTTAATAATTCACATATGCGTCAATTGATATAATATGTTACATTTTTCATGGAACCAAACGAAAATCCATACAAATATTTGGTCACAATTTAATAACATTATAGATCACAGTTTATATTTTACACAGATTAAGAACAGGTCACAATCTGACGCAGTATTATATAAAAAACATATGATTGCTTAATTCCCTTCCAAGTAACAAGAAAGGGCACTACCATGCAAAATATATTGCTCACATTTAGGTTCAATAATTGGAAGATTATGTCACATATATAAAATCGTAGGCATTGGTCACAAGAATACGTCATAAACAGTTTCAGGATAACATATGACATGTCATAGGAATACATATTACAATCACATTAACCAGTAGAATTTAATCAATATCATGATACAATTACAAGCAAAAATAAAATAAAAATGAAAAAATCTAACTAATTTCGATATAATGAATGCACTATGCTATCGATCCAATTTAACACATGATTTGAACTCTATAAACAATTTTCCACTCACTAATCTATATAGTAAAGGAAGATTGTCAATCTTTCTATTGTTTGCACTTGAGAAGCCGTAATCTAGAAATAATGTTTGATACTCGATCGAATATATCAATAGAATTGATGGGCATTAACATATAATGTAGGTAAATCGTGACTTAAAACCAGAAAATGAGCTCATCAAGATAAATTATATTATGGAATTGGGACCGGATGAATATGGATTTATGAAGATTTGATTTGGGATTTCATCCCAATTGTGAGAGGTGATCGGTTGGTGGTTTTCGTCCAGTTGAATGAAGAGTTGAAAATTGATTGTAAAATATAATTGAATTCTCTATTTTAGGATTTGATAAAAATTTAGATCAACGAAATATATTATCTATTTCAGTTTCCTTTAATTGACTCATAATAAATTTAATTAAAATTTTATCGTATTTTTATTTATGGCCTGATTTTTGAAAGAAATTCTTAAGTTTGTCAATATTGAAAGTGAATTCTCCAAGTATGGTATATATGAATTTTTTCCATTTACAAATCATATTTTTAGTAGAATTTAATAAAATTCATTGAAATGTATGGTTAAAAATATTATAAAATTTGTGAATTCAATAAAATGTGATTGAAAATGAATTTATAAAAAAAAAAAAAAAGGAAAAAATCCTTGAAAAATGAATGCCAAACACGGATATCATTTCTAGTTACAAAGAGTACACGTATGGATAATGTTCATCAATCACTTGATTAAGTGCCTGTTTAGCACAGATTTTAAATCAATTAAAATCAAAATTTTGATCGTTATTTTACTATTTCAATCATCATTTTTTAATTCTTCTTTCACAAGTATAACCCATTTTATTTTTAACGGTCAAAAAAATCAATTCTCAAAATTCCTACCAAACAAACACTAAGACAAGGGAGCAATTTTTAATTAATTTTAAATTACAACAAAAATAGCAAAAAGTGGAAAAAAAATTAAAAATTAAAAACAAATAAAAAGAGAGGTTGAACACGTGCATTTGCCATATGCATGTCTCATTAGAATTTTGGTACCTTATTATAGACCATCATCTAGACCGATAATGATGACCGTTAACTAAATAAAATTAGTCTACATTTTTTAGGTGACATGTGGTGAGTGAATTTCATCATCATTTAACCTAGACTTAAACATCGATAGTGATGTATATCATTACTCGATTTTTCAATTCCTCGAAATTATGGTTCTAACACATACGATTAAATAGAATTGATCTCTTGCCTCCAACGAATAAGATAAAAAGTTTTCACTGATGTGGTAGAGAGGAACGTAAGTATGATTCTATGAATGTATTGTTGCAGAAAATCGTAAAGTTTTCTTATCATGTCAACCGTAAAAGTTTTTATTTTGCTCATTGTGGACAGGATATAATATTTAGATTTTGCTATTTGTACATAAAAAAATATACACAATGAATTACGTAATATGATGTGAAGGGAAAATATTTGATGAAAAAATTGATTGTATTTTAAATTGATAAATAATAAAGTGTCACGTGACATTATGTAATTCATTATGTAAATTTTTTTGTACATATAGCAAGATTCATAATATTTGTACAATTAAAACTCCGTGACAGATGTATGCTCTCTTAGAGAGCCGTTATTACGCGTAGCGTGGAGAATTAAAAACATGGAGAGGCGCCCCCAATGAATACTATTTCTTCAATTTGAACATTTCAACTTCCAAAACTGGTTGATTCCTCTTCGGACTCGGTTTCCACTCGGATTCCGAACTCAATTCAGATTCCCAATCCAAAGCACTTTTCTCCTTTGTGCTGCTACCATAATAATCATTCATTCCTTAAAAGTCAAGCAAGAATATAACCCATCACCTTCCTCCACCCTTTTCTTTCTGCTACACGCGTTTTCTCCTTTTCTATAGCCCTCACTACTCAGAAATTGCGGGTGCCGTGTCTTGTATTTTGGTAATTTCAAGCTTCTGCACTTCTAGTCGAAGAATTATTCATATTATACTGATTTTGTGTTTACAGAGATATGACGACAATCCACCTTCGTACCAGCAAAAATAAATACATGGCTGATTCCGATGAATATGGAATTGGAAATTTTCAGTCTTTTGACAATACGGGTGACGTCCCCAATCCTTTTGGCGAGTTGGGTCTGGACCTATCCCCGTCGGAGCTCAGGGAGACCGCCTACGAAGTCCTAATCGGAGCCTGCCGGAGCTCTGGAGCAGGTAGACCCCTCACTTACATATCCAGTTCTGAAAGGACCACCGAGAGGTTGCAGTCGATGACGTCGTCTTCTTCTCCGTCACTTCAGAGGTCTCTGACGTCATCTGCTGCGAGCAAGGTTAAGAAGGCTCTAGGGCTTAAATCCTCGTCGAAGAAGAAGAACGAGGAGGATTCCGAGTCAGAGAGTCAGGGTCTCCGAAACTCAGTGAGAAAAAGAGCAGGGACTGTTGGTGAACTGATGAGGGTCCAGATGAGGGTTTCGGAGCAAGTCGATTCCAGAGTCCGACGAGGCTTACTCAGAGTTGCCGCCGGGCAGGTTAGAATCGAAATTTCACATTTGATTGCTTGGAAAGTTATTCAATTTCTACATTGTTTTATTCTAGAGTAGAAGAGAATTTCTCACTCGATATAGGGCAGTAGAAATTTTTCAGTCGGTTAAGTGGAAATTACTTATTTTTTATCAGGTGATCATGAAAAGCAACACTGTGGGGGGAAAGAGGAACAATGAGGAAAAAAGTTTAAATCATTCAATGACCACTTTTTTCTTTTGTTATTTTGGATAATTATGCACTTAATTGGCTGTTTATTATATTGCATTTCTTAGATCCGATGTGATGAACTTTCACGAGCTTAATGAACAACTTTTTGCGAGATTGACGAGCATAAATTGATGTGCATGATGACTTTTTGGCTTGCATATGTTGATAATATGGTGTCCTCTCCTGTTTTCCATTTATCAGCTTGGACGACGTATTGAGTCTGTGGTTTTGCCATTAGAGTTATTGCAACAGTTTAGATCCTCGGATTTTCCTAGTCAGCGAGAATATGAAAAATGGCAGAGGAGAATCTTGAAAATACTTGAAACTGGACTTCTTTTGCATCCGCACATGCCTCTTGCAAAGACAGAAATGGCCCCTCAACAGCTTCGGAAGATCATACGTGGAGCTGCAGATAAACCCATAGAAACGGGGAAGCATAGTGAACCAATGCAAGTTCTCCGCAATGTCGTAATGCCTCTGGCTTGCAGATCATTTGATGGTTCAGTGTCAGAAATATGCCACTGGGCAGATGGAATTCCTTTGAATCTTCGCCTTTACCAAGTACTTCTGGAATCCTGCTTTGAAGTAAACGAAGAAACATCTGTTATCGAGGAAGTTGATGAAGTATTAGAACTTATAAAGAAGACATGGGTAATCCTTGGGATAAACCAGATATTACATAATATTTGTTTCTTTTGGGTCTTATTTTGTCGATACATTACAACCAGCCAACTTGAAGATGACCTCCTTTTTGCTTCTGTTAATATGCTGTTGGAAGTGGAAAAGGATGCAAAAGCAACAAAGGATCCAGCATACTCAAAGATATTAAGTTCTACATTGAGTTACATATTGGGTTGGGCAGAAAAAAGGCTTCTTTCGTACCATGCTACCTTTTATAGGGGCAACATTGATGTAATGCAAAGTGTTTTATCTCTTGGGGCATCAGCAGCCAAAATATTGGCAGAAGATGTCTCTCATGAGTATCGAAGGAAAAGAAAAGTTGATGTAGCATATGGCCGGTTTGACACGTACATCAGGTCATCTGTGCAGAATGCTTTTTCTCAGGCAAGTTTAAGAAAAAAAATTCTGACAAGTTTCAGAAAATTGTCTTTTTGATACTTGATAACCGTTTTCTAACCCTCTTCTCCTCTTTTGAAAGAGCCATTGATATTCTATTTTTGGTTCCTTAACTTTCTCCGACTCTTTAAACATTGTTCTTCACTAAGTTAATCCATCTTCTCCGTATAATATTTTGATTCTTCTATTTTGTTGCTATTTTGATTACTCGGCGATTTTCAATTATTTCGAAGCCTTGAATGTGTTGTCTGTTTATTCCCTTATATTTTGATTAGGGCTGTGGATGAAAATAAAGATTTCCTGATACTTGTGCTTTCTTTTATGATCTTGCATATTCTTTTACTTGTGAATGTGACTCGAGCTCCTGTTTGGTATTGTGAAGACAGGAAAAAGATAAGGTCATCGCAAGCAGGCAGTCTACAAAATATCAGCAAAATCCTCTTCATGTCCTTTCCATCCTTGCACAAAACACTTGTGACCTGGCCTTCAATGAGAAGGAAATATATAGTCCCGTGTTGAAACGATGGCACCCTCTTGCAACAGGAGTAGCAGTTGTTACTCTTCATACTTGCTATGGAAATGAGCTTAAGCAATTTGTTACGGGTATAAGTGAATTAACTCCTGAGGCTATACAAGTGTTGCTATCTGCTGAAAAACTTGAAAAAGATCTTGTAGAAATGGCTGTTGCTGATTCAGTTGACAGTGAAGATGGTGGTAAGGCAATAATTCAGGAGATGATCCCTTATGAAACTGAAGCTGTGATTGCAAACCTGGTGAAGTCCTGGATACATACAAGAGTAGACAGGCTCAAACAGTGGGTCGATCGAACTCTGCAACAAGAGGTCTTTTTTCCTTCTCCTTTTGTTCCTTCAATTAGCTTTTCATTTGACTATATCCAAGTTGAATATAGAATAATCTGTCCTAGGGTAAGGTTCTTGTTATATAAGGTTTGGAGTCTACAAATTTTATTTATTTATTTATTTATTTTTAATGGATGGCATGTTGGTGACAAATCAATATGACGCTACGAAAGCAGTCATGATACATTGCACTTTTTC